AGTTTTCTAATTAAAATCATGTTTAATACAGAAATAAGTCAAAAAGATCACAAACCAAAACTTATATATGCGCCAGCCTTGTAAATTATAAACCTTAATTTTATTTCAAAATTTTGGTTTCAAGTTTATATTTATTTATTTTCATGAGATATAAACCACCACTTTAATAATATATATATATATATATATATATATATATTGGGGTAAGTACATTCATAAGAAAATGAAAGAATTTACAAGAGCCCATATAAAAAGGGCCAACATATCATAGGACAAACCTTAGGTTAGGCTCAAAAGAATCAAGTAATCACTAAGACTACTAACAAAAAGCTAAACTATGTAATTAAAGCCAAAAGCAAAACAAAGCATCAACACAAAACTAAACAGTGAAATCACACCTTAACTAAGGTTGCCCAGCAACACTCACTCCTCTTGTTTTACAATCCTAAAGAAAAAAAAAAAAAAGAGAGATTGGAACCAAGAGGAGTCGACACCACAAAGTCAAGAGGAATACAATTCAAACAAAAGTCCTACCTTAGGACATGCCCTTGGTTAGGAACAATACTTAGCAAAACAAAAGAAAATACAAGGAAACTCAAAAGAAGAACCCAAAACGACTCAATCTTCATCCAAGGAATGGTTTACCTAGGGAGGCATCAATTGACCAAAGCAAGAACAAAGGAGGAGGACTTGAAGACAGCCCTAGGGAGGTCCCATGAGTCCGCCAAAGTCCTATTAGTAAAGGAGGCCTTGAAGTTTTTAAAGTCCATAGCTCTTTCTCTCACAATGCATTTGATCGAATTAATAATAAAACATATATTCTTACACTCTCCCCAAAACATCCAACTATTTCTGTCCCTCCAAACCCAATACACCATAGCTCCCAAACAAATCTTAGCAATAGCATATTTGAGTTTTTTTCCTTTTCCATCTTCTAGCAAGATATAATGTATAATCATGCCAAGGTCTTACTAAATATCCCAAATGAGCTAACTCAAGAATACTATAACATATGGATTTAGTGAATGGACAAGCAAAGAAAAGATGATCTAAAGATTCTTATCCCATATTGCGAAAACAACAATTCGCATTAGAAGTAACACCATACCTCGTTAGCCTATCCTTAGTGGGGAGTCTTCCTTTTATAGCCATCCAAATAATCATAGCATGCCAAGGAATAAAATTATGGCATCAAACCAAGTCACACCAATCCACTCTAGGTTTCCTCCCTCTAGTAACCTCCCAAGCTAATTTAATAGAAAAAACCCCTGAAGAAGATGGAATCCAAGTGACTTTGTCTTCACCAAGAGAGGGTCTAATGTTTACAGAATTAATCATGTCCATAAGAGCCCACGAATTTGCTATTGGCCATCTCTAACATAAGCCATTGATCACAGCACTAACTTTAACAATTTTATCAATACCTGAATCATAAATAATTTGATCACCATACTTACTAATCAATAGGGGTGGAAAAAACTGGTTAACCGGTATCTTGAACCGAACCGGTTTAAAAAAAAAATTGAATCGAAACTGGTCCGGTTTTAGTTATAAACCGGTTTAAAACCGAACCGAAAATTCGGTTCGGTTTACCGGTTAATTGTAATGAGCTACATTTGTTTGGCCCAATTCAGTCAAACCCTCCACTTTGGCCCATTTTTTTTTTCCAGGTTTTTTTAAACTTAAATTAAAGTTATATTTATTGTAATTGAATAATTTGAATTCATATAATTTTAATGTACATCAAGTATTAATAATTTAAAATTACATTAGCGAAGACCTAGGGATAAATTTTTTAAAAACGTGCAAAATATAAAATTATTTTTTTAAAAATTGAATTTTGGAAAATGCGCATTAGTGAAGACCTAGGGATAAATTTTTTTAAAATTGAAAAATATAAAATTATTTTTTTATTCATTTAACCGGTTTAAAAATCCAGTTCGGTTAACAATTTTTGTTATTTCAAAAAACCGAAACCGAACGGAATATTCGGTTAACAAAATGTGGCAAACCGAAACCGGAAAAAAACCTAATTTTCGGACTGGTTTCGGTTCGGTTTTTTGGTTCAATCCGGTTTTCGGTTTTTTTTTTTCACCCCTACTAATCAAGGGGCCATTAGGGTGCCAATTATCAAACCAAAGAGAAGTGAGATTTCCATTCCCTATAACGTTTTTATTAAATCCCTTAACCAACACCCTAAACTTAAGATTATGTCTCCAAGGCTAAGAGCAATCTTGTCGTGCATTAATCTCCCAAAGGTTTTTATTTCTAAGAAGGTAATTTCTCACCCAAGTCACTTAAATGGAGGGCTTTCTATTTTTCACCAATCACTACAAAATTGATTATTTTGTGAATGAATGTATATATTCTAAAATTTTGCTGGATAGATGCTTAATAATATAATTCCGTTGATTGAAGACAAGAAAAAAGCATCACTTTTTGAGCAATAAAGCTACCATTTTAACATTTTCCAACACTAATTAACGAGATGAAGGTCAATTTCTAAAACCATCTATGAATGGTCATTTTTTCTTAAATCATCTACAAGTGGTCATTTTTCCAAATTCATTACGAAAAGGTTGCAAAAAGGCCAAAAACGTCGTGCTCTAACGAAAAGCTATTGGCCTTGCACGCCAACTGTTTGACAGAACTCTCGAGTTAATTTCAAATCTGTGAATTTACGATATTTTCGCTTCAAATTCACACAATGCAGCGTTTATCATCAAGAATCTCAAGGGCGAAACTCTCTTCTCTAACAACTCCATTTACCAAAACACATTGTAAACACACTTTCACTACATTTCTTGCTAATCCGGGTCTCCAAAAACAGCAGCAGCAATATGCGATTCCATGCGATTTCTTGAAATGGGCCTCGTTTGGTTTTTATAGAACCTCAAAGTTCGCCACTGGGTTCACGCCGTTGCAGCCAAAGCCGTTGGATTCGATCATTGATATCCAGAGAGCCAAGGATAAATCATCCGAGGACCTTGCTTCCATTTGGGACGATGTATGTAACTTTTCCAGTTTAAGGGTCTTTCTTAATTTCCTCATGCCTGAATTATTGGTATTTCAAGTTTTTGAGTACAATGATATCGATCCTTTTGTTAAATCTGCGTCCATTGCAGGGACTAGAGTAGATAACTGCTATTCTTTGCTTGTTCAAACTTACAAATTAAAATCAAACCCCTTTCCACGCTAATGTTAGTGGAATTCATTTTTCAACCAGCTGAACTAGCTAGAACCCACTAATGTTTGATATTGCTTTAGCAGAGTTTAATTTTGGTCTGAATTTAATGTTCCTAGACTGGTGTATAGGCCGGATAACTTCTTCAATGCCATTCCGCGAATGAAGACTGAGTAACTTAGTGATGAGTGACTTGAATGATTAGAAATAATGTGTGATGAGTGACTTGATGGTAATAATGCTTGTATGAATGAAGATTGCTATTTTCGTAGTCGAGAATTATCACTGATGCCCAAAAAAAAATAAAAAAAAATAAAGAGGGAAATAATTTATCCTCCATTTTGTTAGAAAGAAAGAGAACAAGTTTCTGATGTTTCTTAATGCTAAGTCTCCATTTTGATTTTATTTGTGAGTTCTAGCCTTTGAGCTTATTCCTGCTTGTACCAATGTTAAGTTTCTACTTTGGCTATGGCTTTGAGTTTTAATGTTCCAGGAATATGAATGTTTGCTCAGTGATGCCTTATGAATCTTGTTTTCTTTATTTCTGCCTTCAAATAGGAAACTTTCTGACAGTTTTGTTAGTAGTGGAAGATAGGTCATGAGCCTTTATAGATTTGGCTGCCGAACCCAAAACATGCTATGCAGGATGACCCAAATCCCCAATAGTTGCCTTCCATTTCAATCACTT